GGGCAATAACTACGCCCACCTATCATATAACGGTAATATACAGAAACCCTAAAATTGCGATAAATCAGTAACTACTGAGTCTAATTAACTCAAAATCGATAAATACAATAACCGCTTAGCAGCCAATTATATTATTATAAATTTTTGGATAACAGGCCTGGCGCCGCCCCCTCTTATGATCACAAATGAGTATCTCGGTAACCGTTTTATCAATTTCTACCAAACTCGGCGCACTCAATACCCTTAGTACAGGGTGGCGCCGAATGAGCTACAGTGAAACCCGCTTAAGTAACTAACATTTTTGGATACCATGCATTTTTTAATGTATTTGAAGATAATCCCTCTCTTAAGTACCTCCCCGCTTATGTACCCAACCCGTCTTAGTACCTCAATTTTTCATGCCCCATTTACAATTTTACTTATAATTTTCCCGTTTTAAGTCCTCTTTTAAAATTCCTTAAAATATTTATGTATTGTGAAACTGAGTAGCCTTCGGTAAAAAAAATTGTAAAAAATCAACGGTAACTTTTAGTCACTTGAAACTTGCACATTATTGCACTAAAATTGAATGTGTTATAAAACTGTATACCCAAAAAACACTTCTGAGAAAAAAGTTTGGAATTATGATGATTTTTTTTAAGTGTTCTACAAAATCTTAAGCTTAGGTTTATATGGTATTTGTTAGGGAATGAACTGCATTTTAGTTGATTGAAAAATCTTAAAAATTAATAAATAAACATAAGGGGCAAACAATATTATTGTGAATTTGGTACAAAATGATATGTCCAACTTTGACTTTTTAAACAATTTAATTCTTGTAAAAATGATATACCATTGCACTAAATATTTTTCTTTAAGAAAGTTTTTCTTTACATGTTTATGTATTTACATAATGCTACGATTTTGGTTTTAAACTATGTATACTTCATTAAATGTTGTTATTCAAGTATTTATGTAAGTTAACAAGAAGATGTAACTACATCAGTAATTATGTCCGCTTAAGTACCCGCATTAAGGTACTTAAGCGGGTTCTTTTAAGTACCCAACCCGCCTAAGTACCTTAAAAAGCGTGAGCGGGTTTTACTGTATATGGTTTAAATGGTTTATAACTTTTTTATTTATGCGATTATTATAATTTTTTTGTTTTAATTCAGTATATTATTGGGGCATTTTTTGCAATTAGCTTTGAAAAATTATATCCTGTACGTGATGTCCCTTTTCTGCTTCGCACATACGTGCTCTTTTCAGCATATTTTCCATAACTTTTCGCAGAATTTCGGGTGTAATGGCCATGATTTCATTTCGAATGTTGGTTTGGAGTTGGAGAATGGTTCTTGGTTTGTTAATGTTCACTCTTTCATTCAAATATCCCCCAAAGAAAACTGTTAAAAAGAATTCAAACCATAAAGCTCATTCGGCGCCACCCAGTATTATAACCAAAAATTTGAGGTTTTTTTGGCCGAAATTACGATTTTTTCAAGGTAAAATGACGGTTTTCAGCAAAAGCATTCGACAACGCTGCCGGCAGGTCATTTCCAGGCGTGGATCCCGTTGGCATAGAGTAAAAAAAAACTGTTATCAAGAATTCAAACCATATAGCTCATTCGGCGCCACCCAGTACAAGAAAGAAATTCGTTGAAAATTATTCAGATCGGACTAAAAGTACACCCACTTAAATTTAAGACATCCGAAAACTCCGATATTTCCCTAATTTACGCCAAGTTAATAGTTAGTCTCCGTGGCACCGCCCACTTTATAAGCTCGGTTTCGCCCGAACTTATACTTATTTACTTGTCTTTGTTTAGAATATATGTAATAAATACCATTAAAAATAAAAAATATGTTAATAGGTCTGATTCCGAATATCATAATGGTTTCTCTGGGTCAGACCTAGTTCCTGAGATATCGGTGAAAATATGAAAAAACCCATAGTTGCGACACATTACGTCACATATGTGCATCGAAAAGTTGTATTTGTCATCCCATCGGTTTTATATCTGAGAGAGATTTGTAAAGGAGACTCCAATAAAAGTTGTTTGTCTTTATAGTTATAAATCACACAAGTGGTTTGGTCACTATAGAAAAAAACATAGAGAAAATGTAAAAAAAATCGTTATTTTTTATAAAGTTTCAGATACGACCGCCTGAAATCAGAAAAAGTGTTCGGACGAAACAACCTATGCTAAAGAGCATTGCATGTATTTTCGATTTTATACTTTTGATTTTCTACATTGCGGAAAATTCAAAAATCAAAAAACTACCATAATTTTTAAGAAACAGCTTAGCAGGGGCGAGGTTAAAACTGAGATATACTACACATACATAAATGTGCAAAAAAAAATTAGGATTTACCATTGAGATTTTATCAATTTCATGACATCCACCAAAATATTTTGGCTAAACTAGCAGTTAATCGTGAGTTGGACCGCGTAGAAAATGTATCTGAAAATTGTTATTTTTTACAGAAGAAAATTTAAATTTCAAAGTTTTCCGTATCGCTAGTGGAAAAAGTTTAAATCTACTTAAAAACTGTATGTTTAAAATAATGATATTTCAAATGCAATTTTACGAAAATTTCGTAACCCAGTTGCCGCGAAAATTGAAATAACTCAGCTTATTAACAACACATATTTGTTATCAATTAATTTTTTGGTGAACTAATCCATTCACATGCCATAAGGTGGAATTGTATCAATGCTTAAAATATTAAAAAAAAAAAAAATAAATTAAATAAGTGCATTCTAATTTAGTACGGAAAACTTGACGAAGACATTTCAGGGATTTCGGACAAAAATACGTGAAACAAACCTAGCGAAATACAAAAAAGTAGTTAAAGATAGCCACATTCTTCACTATTTCCAATCACGCCGAAATCGTCCAATATTATTTGTTTTTAAATTTGTTCAGCAGCATAACATCTTTCACCCTGTTCATCTCTCTTGCACGGTGCACGGTTTGCAAAGCTGTCCCATAGGAAACCCGGTTTTAAAGCTCCGTGTATACCCCTATTATGGATATCATGGCACTGCAAAACATTTTAATGATTTCTCGGTAGTAGGTAGGTATTATAATAAAGTTCACTCAAAATCGGTACGCATGAAACGGGTTATATCTTTTTAATGGGTTTTCATGTTAAAATAAAGGGAAAACATTCCGTTATAGATACATGTTAGCGGTAGTTTCATATTTTGCTTGGATAAATAAATAAGAGACAATTTCTTTGATAATGATAAAATTTTTCTGAACAGCCGTTCTAGAGACTTGTGTAGTCAACTTGCTCTACTAAACTATCTTTAGTTTATGTTTTTTCACAGCTCGCATATCTCTACTAATTCTGTATGGATGGTTAGAATACTTGTGGTGTAGTGGTAAGCAGAGCGCGCTAAAATTCCGCAGGGTCTGGATTCCGAGCAACATAAAAAAAAACACGAAAAAAAGCTTTTTCTAATAGCGGTCGCCTCATGGCAGGCAATGGCAAACCTGCGAGTGTATTTCTGCCATGAAAACATCTTCCCATAAAAATATAATCGCCGTTCGGAGTCGGCGTGAAACTTTAGGTCCCTCCACTTTGTGTGACAACATCAAGGCGCACGCCACTCTTATTTATCCAAATTTTTAGGTAATAATAAAAAATGTTCAGTTTAAATGTTAATTTTCGTCGTAGTCGTTTTTTCAAATGTATGGCTACTACTCATATGGGTTTTGCCTAAATATCCCAGAATTTTATTTAAAATGAGAACTGTTAACTTTGAGGTGGCATAAAATGAAAAAAATACCAATAATTTTTTTTGGTATAATACGTGTCTTCTTATTTTTCATAACCTATCAGAAACATACTATGAGACCTCAGGGATTGAACATTTTTTTCCATTTTGTTGCACTGTGTCATCTTTCCAAACGAACTTCGCGCCTCATTAGTACACCGTAAACGATCGGCTTTCTTTCTTATATTTATTAAAAGCTCTTGCTCAAGCTTTTATGCTTTTATTGCCATAGCTTAGGCTAACAACTATTCCCCAGTTCAGGTTAGTTTTAAAATTTGCTTCGTAAATAGTATAGTAAAAAAGTGACGCGGAAGAAAAAGCAAAGGAGAACGAATAACCAACTGATCGTTGTTTTTGTAGCAAACCAGTTGGTGGATATACGCAATGACATGCTGACGTTGACTTAGCACAATACATTGCTTGGATTTGTATCTACGTGTACATATTCATATACATACATACATATGTACAGAGATACAGTATTGGCCAATACAATAGCACCCCCATTTCAAAGTCATATTGTTTGCCACTCATGTTTATTTATTTATTTTTAAGAATTTTCAATTAAAATACAGTTCATTCTCTCACAAATCTCACATAAACTCAAGTTTAAAACTTTTTAAAAGACCGCAAAAAAGTGCAACAAATTTTCACCCAAATATCAAACTTTTTTCTCAGAAGCGGTAGAATTTTTTTGAATACACAGTTTTATAGCCCATTCAATTTTAGTCTAATAATGTGCAAGTTCCAAGTGGCTAAAAATTACCGTTGATTTTTTAGAATTTTTTTCGCCGAGGATGTTGCGGGTTTCTGCCATATAAAAATAAATTGTGTTTAGTCGTTATATGGAAGCAAATGAGACAAACAAAATTCTAAAAAAATCAACGGTAATCTTTAGCGACTTGAAACTTGCACATTATTGGACTAAAATTGAATGCGCTATAAAACTGTGTACCGAAAAAAATTCTAGAGCTTCTAAGAAAGAAGTTTGAAATTTAAGGGAAAGTTTGTTGCGCTTTTTTGCGGTCTTTTAAAAAGTTTAAAACATGGGTTTATATGGGTTTTGTTAGATAATGAACTGTATTTTAATTGAAAATTCTTAAAAACAAATAACTAAACATAAGTGGCAAACAATATCGCTTTGAAAGGGGGGTGCTATAGATATATCCAATACTGTATATTTCTTGCGTACATACTTGGGAAATAATTTTGGATTTATTTTTGTTATATTTACAGAACGATGTTTTATCTGCAGTCCGGACCGACGACGCCTCTACATTAGATCAACAGATTATAAAGCAAGGTGAAAAAGTACGCGATCTTAAAGCCAAGAAAGTTTCCAAAGATAAAATCGATCCAGAAATACAAAAGCTTATAGCTCTTAAAGCTGATTACAAAGTAGCTACAGGCACAGAATGGAAACCAGGTCAAACAGCGGCTGTAAACATTGCTAATACAGGTTGTACTGTTGAGAAATCAGTCAGTGAAGATATTGTCAAGCTAGGAAATCTGATACGTGATTTAAAAACGAAGAAGGCGTCAAAGGCTGAAATAGACACTCAAGTTAAGGTGCTTCTTGATTTAAAGGCCAAATTCAAAGCATTAACTGGTAACGAGTGGAAGCCAGTTAATGTAGTTTCACCTTCTGCTCCACAATCAAAAGACAGTTCAGGTGTTGAGGAAGTACTCAAAAAAAATTAATACACAAGGCGATAAAGTGCGCCAACTTAAATCACAAAAAGCTGACAAAGTGGTGGTTGAAGCGGAAGTAAAAACGCTACTAGCTCTTAAAACCGAATATAAAGAACTTACAGGAAGCGATTGGAAGCCAGGTGTTGTAGCACCAGCGACTATTAAGAAGGAGAAGTCTCCAGATCCACCATCAACTGTTGCAGTTAGAGATTTGCTAACGAAAATCAATGCTCAAGGGGATAAAGTGCGCAGACTAAAGAACACTAAAGCGGAAAAAAATTTAATAGAAGATGAAGTCAAGCTGTTATTAGCACTCAAAACAGACTATAAGAGTCTTACAGGACAAGATTGGAAACCTGGGACAGCGCTTCCTCTTACAGCAGCTGATGGTCCCGTTAAAATTGACTTAACGCGCGACGAAAGCCCAGACGCCAATGCACTTCTAATACGAATTCAAGTTCAGGGCGAAAAGATACGAAAATTAAAATCCGAAAAATATCCAAAGCAAACGATTGACGCTGAAGTGCAGTCGTTATTAGCACTAAAGGCGGCTTATAAGCAACAAACCGGTACAGATTGGACACCCAACACCAAAGTTCAACCTAACGCAATTTCTGTCGCCCAAAAATCTCCAGTAACTATGTCTTCTTCACCAGAAAAAGAGCTACTCACAAAGGAGATCAATGAACAGGGAGATAAAGTACGTGCCGCCAAATCTAATAACCTTCCTAAGGAGATGATTGATGCTGAAGTGAAAAAATTGCTGGCGCTCAAAGCGAAATACAAAGAAGTTACTGGAACTGACTTCCCAACCGCTGGCGGACGTGGCAGTAGCAGCTCCTCAAAGAAAGGAAGTGAAAAAAAAGGCTCCAGCTACAAAGAAGGAAACAACAACATCAAAAGAAGAGACTGTTGCGAATGTGGCGGGGCTTAAAAAACAAACCCGTTTGGGACTTGAAGCTACGAAAGAGGAGAATCTTCCCGACTGGTACTCACAAGTATGTAATGCTTTGTTTTTTTTTATATGTATATGTAAACACAGCACATCGTTCAGTCCTAAAGCTCTAACCAAAATTGCAGCGGACGATAGTAAAGCAGCCGACGGTTAACCGCTGTCTATTCTGTTCGCTATGCCAAAAACTTGTACAAGTTGGTACCAATTGTTACTAAATCGCGTTCGTACAATTTTGACCTTTCATTTAGAGGAAAAGCTGGAAATTCGTGGTGGGAAAATATTTGGCAGCAAGAATTTGCAAGCAAGATTGTGGCCCAAGGTTGTATTTTTGTTACCAATAATTGGAATCAACAAGTTCGTTAAATTTAAAAATAAACAATCTTGCCGCGGTTTAGTATTGAAAGAAGTATGTAAATTTTGTTGTCGACACCACTGTCGATGTAGGAAATCCGACAGTGATTACAACAAAGAAATTCAAACGTATGTTGAAGAAGTCCGAATAAGAAGAAATATACAGGCCGTAGAGCTGGCCGAGTAATTGACGAAACTGTTTTCAAAATTTTTCTAACACCCTCAATTTCTTAACTTATTCTTAAAAAACCATTTTCGCATGACTTTCGGCACTAAAAAGTTTTTAGATCGGTTATTTTTGAACCAATTTTGAGTTTTTTTTCTTTTTAAGGAAATATAAAGTTTGGTAAGTGCATTCTAATTATATGAAAAATTTGTCGAATCAATATAAAATTTGCACTAATTTTTATTATTTTTCCCACTTCCACAACATTTTTTGCCAAAATTTCAAAAGAAAGTAGTCTCTTTTAGTCATTACTTTTAAAAGAATGTTTAATTCCGAGTAAAACTAGATACCATTCATTAAAATCAATAAACAGATTATACAGTTATGACATTTTTTTAAAGAGAAAAATTCAATTTAAATTTTTCTGTATAATTACATCGAAGTGATTTTGGAAAAATCTTGAAAAAATTCATAACATCCGAAATTGTTTATTGATTTTTTTAAACGGTACCTAGTTTTACTCGGAATCGAACATTCTTTTCGAAGTAATGACTGAAAGAGACTACTTCATTTTAAAATGTTGGAAAAAAAATAATGTCGAAGTGGGAAAAGTAATAAAAAGTTGTGTTAACTTGAGACTTAATCCAAAAATTTTCCACACATTTACAATGTACTCACAAAACTTATTATTTCTTTAAATATTACAAATATTCTTCTTTCCAAAGCTATATAAAAACTTAAAATTGGGTAAATAATAACAGAGCTAAAAATGGTTTAATGCGGGAAGTCATGTGAAATTGGTTTTTTTAAGAATAAGGTGAGAATTTGAGGGTGTTACACAAACTTAAAACGCAGTTTCGTGAATTACGCGACCAGCCCTACGACCATGGAATATAAACATATTTTTGTATGTACGATATCTTAACACTTACATATTGCTTTGCAAAAACATTAAATTAGAAAGCTTGTTTGATTTTAAAAACGTTCTACGCCAATATTTTGCCTGCCCCTAACAAAAAAAATCGTTTGCAAAGAATTGAAGCAGCAACAATGCAAAAGCGTTTTAAAGCGTATCTGTAAAGACCGGTTTTTACGTCACACGTTTGTGCCAAGAATATTTGGATCGCAATCCAAAATAAGAAATAGTAGCACTGACAAATTTAGTTCAATGAAAAGACCGAACTAGTGCACTAGTTTATTGAAATGAGCTAGTTCTTTAGTTCATTTAGTTCAAGAACTACCCAAGCCTAGCCCACTGTATTTTTGCGCAGAATTTCTTTCTCCGTAGGCGGCCCACAGTGTGGAAATTGAACTTTTTCGTGACGAAATCTAATACCTGACAACCAGAATAGGTAACCAAATAACGGTAGCGGTATTTTAAAGAATTTGAGACGCAGAATTCAGAAAAAATTGTCTCTTTGACCTTTAAAACATTGCACTGAAGGAAACTTTATAACCCTGGAAATAGGCTTATTGACTCAAAAAAAAAAAAAATGGTTACAACCTTTTGAAAAGTTCATTCCACATTTTTTTCAGTTAAAAAACAAGCCCGCCGACCGTCCCTTTAACCATAGCCCATATAGAAAAGCCAACCCAATTAATCTTCAAACTGAATATAAGGATTATTATAACGAAGAGAAAAAACGAACAATCGGCAAAGCGGATCACGGTTGCATTTTAATATTGAGAAACATTTCCGGAAATTTATTCCCTGTGTGAACCGCCAAAAAGTCTTCAGAGATTTCGCCTTTCGGAAAATAAAAACCTCTTTCGAAAGATACTTTGCATGCAAGGTGTGACTCCTCATGTTTTCTGATATTTCGCATTTTGACAGCGTTTACGAAATATATTAGTTCTGTTCGCTATGCAAAAGCCAGTAACAAAATTTAGAGAATAAGGTATCTTTCCCTCCCAAAGGGAGAAACTTGCTAAATTTTGCGTGAGCAGGAACTAGCAAACATTTGCAAGCTCCAGTGCCAGCTGGCGTCCACGGTTTCACTACGAACATAATATTTTTTTTAATTATTTCAAGTGGAAAACAAAACAGGACTTTCTTTCAGGTTTTTTTCTTTTTCTGACTTTCTTCAACATACGCTTTAATTACTTCGCGGAAGTCACTATCGGATTTCCTGTATCAACAGTGGTGTGGACTGCGTTAATTAAATTAATTGAATATACAAATATTTATATATGTAGCTACTTCTTTCATTAGTAAATCGCAGCAAGATTGTTCATTTTTAAATTTAACGAATTTGTTGATTCAAATTATTGTTGACAAAAATGCAACGGTGTGCCACAATCCTGCTTGCAAATTCTTCTCAGCACGAATTTGCAGCTTCCCCTCCAAATGAAATGTCAAAGTTGTTCACTCTCCTTGCAAGTTTTACCGGTTTTTTTGCCAAACGAACACGATTTGGTAACAATTGGTACCAATTGCCGCGTCAGACACGCTCTATACGTGTGAGCAAATTGAAAGCAATTTTTTTAACTTGTTGAACGCAAAGTCTCGTTTGTTTTGTTTTACTTGGACTCTACAAGCAGGGTTGCCACTGACGAAAAAAAATACTTACCATCCACTTGAAGAAAAAAAACCAAATCTGGAAAATATCTACCAATAACGATTTTTTAGTTAATTTAATAAAAACTATAGTTTTGTTATTTTTTAGTTGTTTCAATAAAAATGAAAATTGTTTTTAAGGAACTTTTAATTTAACTAGTTATACACAACACAACAAAAAGCGAAAGTGATGAAACTACAGGCAACAACGAAACTTCATCATTTGAAAAAAATTCAACTGGAGTTTTTATAGACAAATACAGTGACTCAAAAAACGCTTGGTGATTTTTTTATATTCACAATGTTTTTCATGTAAAAATCAAGAATTCAAGCTAAATACAACATTTAGAAAAATTAAAAAAAAATGCAGGAGGAGCATAATTCCTTTTAAACTTGCTTAAATATTCTTTACCATACGTATGACCTGTCATGAAACGATTAATCAATTTGATGTCATAAACATTTAAAACGCATTTTTTATCCCTAACCCATGATGGATTTTTAATGCCTTCAATGTTATCCGCAAAAAATCTCCCTTTCGTAGTACTTAGCACAGTGAACTCATTTTCGCATTCCAACCAAATTTGCTTACGGATTTTGCATAAAACTTCCCCCAATGTTAATTCATCTTTACAATCGACTCATTTCCAACAACGGCCTTAGCATGGAAATCGGCTTTTTCATTTAGACCAATGCCTTTATGACTTGGCACCCACATAACCCTGGCACATTCACAAACTGAATTTGCAATCCTGCTGTGAATTGCAGCCATAATGAAATTAGATGTCATACTCTTATCTAGTAGTTTAATAGAAGCCATACTGCTGATGTTATTGGCACCGTCTCACAGTGTATCATTTCCATATTCTAGAGAAGATTAATTCCATTATTTTGTGTCGCCAAATTTGAAAACAACGTAAAGAATGTTTTTAGAAATGCCTGATAAATACGAAACAATGACAACTAAACAATTTTAATTAAAGTGTATGGCGTGACGGGGTTTGATTTGGAAAATTACCGAGCACAATAATATTTAAACTTTTATATTTGAAACCGAATCTCAATGTTTATTTTGTCGGTGTTATGTGATTTATGCAACAATTACTAAAATACCATTTTGGTCTTATTTGCTTGGGTATGTTCTTTTTAATGAATATACATTTTTGGGATTTTAGTAAACTAGGACTGAGTATTCCATGTTAAAGTAAAACGATGTTAACTTAAATTTATTTTTAGCAATTTATTAATTTCATTAGACCCGCAAACTCGTTATCCGTCACTATTCGTTCGTAAAGTTTGTATCTCAGTTTATTTGCCACTCCTCTTAGACTTTAAACAACATATACTACGTTTATACGCACAGAATAATCGACTTAATTTAAAGCGCATTGACACCGTACATATTTCGCTCTAGTGTTTATACTTACGGCTTTATTACTACGTTTATACGCACAGATTAATAGACTTAATTGAAAGCGCATTAACACCGTACACATTTCGCTCTAGTGTTTATACTTACGGCTTTATATCGGCATCAAAGTAACCGTCTTCAAAAGCAAACAAAATAAGCTGTTTTCATTTGACATTTTATAAGTTAACATAACGGAAAGTGATAAAAATCTAGTTTTATTCGGCATTATAAAATCGTGGCAAAGAAAAAGAACGATTATTATTAATCAGCTTTTAAATACTGATGCGATTATTTGGAATTTGAGCGGAACAGCTGATCTCCCATTCGCTTTGAGTGAGAGCGGTGTTTATACACTCTTTCTAACTGTCTGAAAAATAAACTACCGATTTGAAATGGAGTGTGAGCCAAAACACTTCGCTCTTTCAAAGCGAATTGAAATTCAGTTTATACATATGTTTTGAATCGCGGCGAAATGAACTAAAGCGACTTATGCATGCGTATAAACGTAGTAATAATTTTAGCTGCTGGAAAGTGCAGGTTTTGATGAAATTTTCTTTTTTCTGGCCTACTGGGAATTTCATTTTCTTCGAGTAATTCATTTGCATTTTATCTCGACCGAGACAAATTCTTATATTTTCGTTTTGAATAGAGAAAGCCTGATTCATTACCTTTCCAATGGTATCCCATTTTTTGTAAATAGAGTAAGAAATATTGAACTTATAACGGAATTTTGTTGACCCAACTTGACTTTTTTATCGATATTTTCCACGCCCATAATTAAAAAAAATATATATTTATTTTTAAGTCCATTTCTGTCAGTTTATAATATCTTGTTATAGGGAAATTCTAAATATCAATTTTGGGCATTTTATCCTTTGTAGTTAGTTAAATATTTCAGTTTTTGCATTTTTAAAAATTGCAGTTATATAATAGGGTGGCATGACAGTAACTATAAATTACCAATTTTTTGTAAAAAGCTTCGCCTATCTTATGACGTACCTTGGGCAAAATTTCATTAATATATCTTCAATAGATTTCGAATTACAGAATTAAAAGCAGCTAGATGGGTCAAATCTTACACTGTGCGTCTGAGGGAATCATTGAGGATACCTTGCATTTTTTTGTTAAAACCAACAGGAGCATCAGCGTAGGTTGTATCAGAATATTTAGCTTTGCTTCTCACTTATGACTTGTAAAAATTTATCGGCTTTTTAGGCTCCAAACCCCCCTTAATTGTAGTTAACTTTTTAACTAGATTAATACTTGACGACGCAGTGCTCTTGACATTGACATGTTCCTTAATGGAACCGTTTGCACTTATGACTCTACCAAGCCACTTCAACCATCTAACCTGTAGGATATCCCTGCGACTAAACCTAAGATTGAGCTCATTGTTTGCAAAATAGGTCAAACACATATATTTAATTTTGTTTACGTTAATCCGCAAATTTAGTCCCTCAGACTACCTTCCAATCCATGGACAGCATCTTTCATACGATCAAATTGCATGTCCCAGATTCTAATTTTTAACTTAGTGCGAACATTTCTGTGATGACCTCAGAAAACGGCTGATTATCCAACATCGTGCTTTCTTTCTCGTAAGCCTGCTGCATTTTACGAGTTGGTTTAGCATTATATGAGCCTACAGCCTATTTGACTCTGGCGATTTCCATAATCTATGATTAACTTCTTATAATCTTTTCCTTTGATATGGCTTTATTATATTTTCCTTTAATAGGACTTGCGGCTACAGAAGTAGATGCAGAAGCTTCTAAAGATTCACCCCTCGCCCTTCCTTACCTCACATCACTTAATTCTTCTGTTTTCACTCAATTGCTTTCGTACACCCATCCTGAGTATTGAGAAGTCGCGAGTGGGTTCTGTGGTTTCGGCCTCACGACTGTTACTGTTACGGATATCCATTACGGCGTCGTTGAGCTTATTTGCCCTGTCTTCTAACTCCAATCACAGAAATACATAAGTTACTTTGTTTATAAAGTTAACTTTTAGAATACATCAAACATTTTATTTCGCTCCTCATTTTTTAGGTCATTACAAAAGGGGAATTAATCGAATACTACGATGTCTCTGGTTGTTATATACTACGTCATTGGTCATTTGCAATTTGGAAGTTCATAAAATCGTGGTTCGATGCTGAGATCACCAAAATGGGTGTGAAAGAGTGTTATTTTCCTATTTTCGTTTCGCGAGCGGCACTCGAAAGGGAGAAGACTCATATCGACGATTTTGCGCCAGAAGTCGCATGGGTGACGAAATCCGGCGACTCTGACTTAGCTGAACCAATTGCTGTGCGACCTACCTCCGAAACCGTTATGTATCCGGCTTACGCAAAATGGATTCAATCCTACCGCGACTTGCCTCTTCGCCTAAACCAATGGAACAACGTTGTGGTAAGATTATTCTAGTATTAATACAAGTTTTTTTTTTTTTTGTTATAATCTATATAGTATAAATTATTTATATTTTTGCGACTCAAATTGAACGTTATTTTCAGATTTTAATTGCGAGATTATAAATAATTTTAAGCGATCACAAGAGCGTAATACTATGTTCACGTTGAAAAATTAACTCGAGTTTAACGTTTTGAGTTTATGAACAACTGTCAAGTGTTCTCATTTTGGTGTTTAACAAACTTAGAATTTAATTTGACATTTGATTGTTTACTTTTTCTTATTCACATTTAGCCTTTTCCCGTACTCCAGTGGCCGTGGTGTAGAATACCTACCGTTTAGCCAAAAAATAAAAAATAAAAATTGTGACTCGATAGAAATTTTCATGCTGATTTCAACCATACCAAGATTATTTGGCAAAAATAAAAACCAAATCCAATAAAAGGGTTGAAGTTAAAATTTTCTATTTTACAACGCTTTTATCAACTTGCAATGTTGTGTGTCCAGCAGAGTTGTGAAAATTGCATTAATTTTTTAATGCATTAATGGTATTTAAAGCAATAATGTTAATGTAAAAAATTAGTGCGTTAATTTATGAAATTTAATGCAAATGAATATTTCATGCATTAATTCTGAAAAATGTAATGCTAGTGAAATTTTTTTTTTCATTAAATTATCCAAGCTAATGCTAATGAAAAAATTTTAATGCACTAAAATGCTTAATACTTTTGCTCGTTTGCATTATTAAAAACCATTAATTTTTTTTTCTAGTAAAATATAAATAACCCATTTTGGAAGGACTTGGAATAATTACTAATAGTTTTTTCAGCTTCATTATATTATGTGTATTTGTAGAAAGATTCTTCTAAACATTGTTAGATGTTTTTTTGAAAATGAAAGCCAATGTGCATTCAACGCAGAGTGCTTTTATAGATTTTTATGTTGATTGTTGATGCATACCGATTACATATATTAAATATAAGCCAAAAACGGACAGATAGCCAGTTTAGCAGCGCATGTACACGACTGAGCACCTACTCTGATCTAAATCAATCAATAACCCGTTTTTTAGTTCCATTTGATAATGTGATTTTACGTTTTTAACGACAAATTCCATCGAACTTGACACAGTGATAACCAGCCTTAACGTCCGTCACTATCTTTTTTGATCTTAAAATTCTACCCTCAACGTCAGCAAAGAGTTTTTACTTTCAAAATAAAATTAAAATGGGTTTTTAATGATTATTATAATTTTAGTGCAATAAATTATTGCAATAGCATTCATTTACACATTTTAATGTTAATACAAAAAAAAATCATTATCATTATTTCTTCGGAATTAATGCATTGCAATTTTCATTTACATTAAATATCAAAAATTAATGCATTAATCTTTTTCATTTACATTAAAATGCTATGCATTAAAAAATTTAATGCATTTTTCACAACTCTGGTGTCCAGACAGCTATAAAACCTTTGCTTTGCAAAGTTCCTATAAAAAGAGTCCAGACATAAACTTCGTCGGTTCAGAGGTAGATGTCGCCCTATGCACTACGTACGCTACAGCGGAAATGGACGACACGGCATTTCTTTAAATGAAATTAATTGGTGCTCGTATGTATGTACATTAGACTGCATCACTCCCCATACAAAAAAAAATCGGCACTGTTTTTCCATTGGAATTTTAGAATCTATTATATTTTAAGACCTCCACCTATATATTTCGGAAAAATATTAGGATTTAAGCGAGCTGGACCGATTTGAAAACACCTCCAAAAATTGAGTTTTTTATGAATAAAAATAGTTTCTTAAAGATGTTTTTTGAAAAAAATGCTCTCCAATGACAAAACGGTTTAAGCTTCAAAAATTACATTACATTACATAAAAATATTAAAAAAAAAATATTTCAACGGCATAAGAAACACTTGAATAACTGAACCTAAACTCTTCCGATTTAGACTTGTGAGGTAAAAGTATTTTCTCACTCTTTTTATTTCTTTGCTAATAAGCTCATTCAAAGGATGAAAGATAAAGGTAGGATGAACGAACATCATTCAAAGTTTAATTAAGATGTGTTGGTATTTGAAAAAAAAAATGGGACACAAATGACTTTTTTTTGCACATAAATAAAAATAGTGGGAAAATACCTTTCTACCGAGATCCCATAAGTCTAAATCAGAATAGTTTCGGCCCAGTTATTTAAGTTTTTCGTAGATCAATCTTTGAAAAAGGTAAAAAAAACAGCATCAAATATCTCATTATTACGATTCCGTTGAAAAGATTTTTAAATATTTGTATGCAGATTTTTTAAGCCTAGTCTGTTTCGTCATCTGAGGTGACTCTTTTCATAAAGTTCTTTAAGAAACTATTTTCATTCATATATATATATCCATTTATAGAGTTATTTTCAAATCGGTTCAGCCCGCTTAAATCTTAATATTTTTCCGAAATATCTTGGTACATTTTCGAGATTCTCGAATATCATGACGAAATAAAAAATAGGTGTCTTCTGTTTTTCGATAAAGAATGTAAAAAAATATATTTCACCCCAAAAAAAATATTAAGGTGTAAATATTGTATGGAATGACCCATATGTATGTATGTATGTGGATATATGAATAACGGCCGCTTAAAATTGTTTATAATGACTTGCTAAAATTTCAAAATCAAAAGTTATCAAAACAAATTGTATGGCATTGAAAAATATTATTTTCTACTTTTTAGTCCAATTATAAAAAAAGCGTTATTTATTAAATTTTTTTTTTATATTATTTATTTTATATACTTATAATATCTCTCACCGATCACAAAGGTATTGAAGCTATTTAAAGATAATTTAAATACCTTTAACGCGACGGATATAGTATAACCCTTTTTAAAACAAATTTTAAATAAACGCCATTTAAAAAAAAAAATATATATTAATATATAAGTTTTTTGGTAGTTAGGTGTTTCTGGCTTAAAAATATAAACAAAAGGAAAAAAATATGCCCACTACGTGAAATACCCCCTAATTACCTTTATTTCGACGTCATTGGTTTTTAATAGGTTATGTTGTTCAGAATATATTAATATTTAAACATCTCTAAACAACACCACTCTGTGACTGCCAAAATGTAAATCAGAGAGCTGTTTTGAGTATGATCGAGCCTTTTTGATAATGTGTGTAACTAATGAAACGGATACTCGAACAGTGTTGCCACGGACAATTTTTTTTTCCTACCAAGACCAACCATACCTACCAAAAATGTGTTTAAGGTTTTAAATTGTTTTTACCAATGCCAAGTTTATTACAAATGTAGACAACATAACATTTAGTAAAACTAAAACACAGCTAGTAGAATAAAACAAATTGACTACGTATAACAATTAATTTTACTGTACAGACTTACACAAATGTTTATCTCTTTACAGATACATATTATTATTAGTATTATTATTATTAAGTCGAGGATGCTCGCGCTGCGACCTAAGAAGATCTATTGTGCTTAACCCTACCCCAGACTATTTAAGAAGTCAGGAGGAGGACGCCATGTTTCAAATTTTGAATAAAGAAGACAATCGTCCCCTAGTCTGCTATCTATGATACGTGGACAGTCACATAGAATATGCTCTGGGGTTTCCTCACAAAAGGCTAGGGACCATGCAAGCGCATTTGGGCTCCACGCTTTGCGAGACACTCAGCCTTTTCGTTGCCTTCAAACCCTTCATGTTCCGGAACCCACCAAAGCCTTAACTATTGTGGATTTCCAAGCAGTTCAAAAGAGCTTTTCAGCTGTCCACAACCCTGGTGCCGTTTTAAAAGAGTGTAAGGCCTTTAACCTGCCTGACTATCCGACATAATATTTATTTTGGACAAATGGGGTTCTTTACATAGACTTTGATTGCGAACACTTCCGCCTGGAATATAGTTGGGTATGTGCCAATTGGCAGAATTTTCTGGAATCTTGATCCAAATACGCCTGCCACAATACCCCGAAGATCTCCAATTTTATTTCTGGTCATATTGGGCAGTCGTTAGTAGAGCGCTCCAGCAGGCCTCTTTTTCAAACCAAATAGAAAAACGAGGAGGAATGCCTTAAATGAAACCAAGGGCATCCGTTGGATAGGTGCCCTTAGCTTCTATGATAGGCCCGCGGACCAGTCGCAGCCGTCCATTCGAACGACATGACCAAGCCAGCGGAGCCGCTGCATTTTAATTCGCTGCACTATGTCCATATCGTTGTAAAGCTCATACAGCTCATCGTTCCATCGTCTGCGGTACTCGCCGTCGCCAACGCGTAAAGGCCCTTAAATCTTCCGCAAAATCTTTCTCTCAAACACTTCAAGAGCCGCCTCATCGGATGTTGTCATTGTCCATGCCTCCGCGCCATACACCAGCACAGGCATGATGAGTGACTTATAGATCGTGGTTTTCGTACGTCGAGAGAGGACTTTACTCCTGAATTGCCTACTCAGTCTAAAGTAGCACTTGTTGGCAAGAGTGATTCTGCGTTGGATATCAATGCTGACATCATTATCGATGTTAATGCTGGTTCCCAAGTAAACGAAATTCTCTACTTTCTCGAAATTGTAACTGTCAACAGTGACGTGGGTGCCAAGGCACGAATGTGCTGACTGTTTGCTTGATGACAGGAGATACTTCGTCTTGTCCTCGTTTACCACCAGACCCATTCGCTTTGCTTCCCTATCCAACTTGGAAAAGGCAGAACAGACTTCGCGGTTTTTGTTACGGATGATGTCGATGTCATCCGCATACGCCAGCAATTGCACGCTCTTATAGTAAATTGTTCCTGAGCGGTTCAGTTCTGCAGCTCTTTGTATCTTCTCCAACATCAGATTAAAGAAGTCAGATGAAAGGGAGTCGCCCTGTCTGAAACCCCATTTTGTGGCGAACGGCTCGGAGAGGTCTTTTCCAATTCTGACGGAGCTGGTGGTATTGCTCAACGTCATTTTACACAGACGTATGAGTTTTGAGGGGATGCCAAATTCAGACATAGCGGCGTATAGGCAACTCCTTTTAGTGCTGTCAAAAGCGGCTTTAAAGTCGACAAATAGATGGTAAGTGTCGATCCTTTTCTCGCGGGTCTTTTCCAAGATTTGGCGTACTGTGAATACCTGGTCTATGGTGGATTTGCCAGGTCTAAAGCCACACTGATAAGGCCCAATCAGTTCATTGACGGTGGGCTTCAGTCTTTCTCACAATACGCTCGATAAGACCTTGTAACCTATGCTTAGAAGGCTGACCCCGCGGTAGTTGTCGCGAATGGCGAGGTCACCTTTCTTGTGTTGGCTAAAGGGATCCTTTAAGAAGCGAAAACCGTTCACAGTAATGGCGTGCACCCCAAGTTCCTTCTTTATTTTCAGACGGAATTTGGCCTTCGCCCATGCACAACATTAAGGTAGATTCAAAGGGAAAAGTTATAAACGTTTAAAAGTACTTTGAGTAAAGGAAATCCAACAAAACCAAATGGAATCTACGTCTGAACGGTAGTAAAATACGTAAACATTTTTGTGAATATCAACACTGTAACCCATATATGTAATACTTCTATATTGCTAGAACAATATGATCGCAATGAGTTTTCCATTCGATATCAAAGAAAGACAGCCTACGAAAATTTTTGTGATTGTGGAAGTATACGTGTGTATTTGTAAACTACTACATCCCACTGGGAAAATAGGTAAGCACCTTACGAGGTAAGCCATGTTTTCTTTCAGTTTTTAGTACCAAAATTGTCATCATGGCCAATGTCATCTACTAGTAAAGCACAAAATGAACACCTCCAACGACACATTACGTTGTCAGTTGCAAAGTAACGTGCAGCCGAAGTTATCTCCAAGCGCCGAACTACTCCGAGCGACTTCTCTGCATTACACGTAACTTACTTTGTAAAGCGGCTCAGAAGTATGTCTGATACCAAATGTACATTCTAAATTCCTACTTACATAAGGCGGCCATGCCTTTGTAAAAGTAAGGGACGTTCGGCAGGGAAATGGCAATGACTGCCAGGTGAAGAGTAAGTTGCTAATAAGGTATTATTACGTGCTCCTAATTCCCACTGGGATAGAATGAAGTGCCATATCATAACAGGGCCGGTTCAGGAAATTCAACAAACAAACACAAATTTGACGGTCTCATGTTTCCTTCAAATGTATATCGAGCCCTAGCCGCGAAAATGAAGTAAGACAACTTTTTTCAAAATTTAATTTTCATGCATAAATGCCTCTTAGAGCACCTGCATCAAAAAGTAAAAAAAAAAAATATATATATATACATTATTTTAGCGGTTAGGGCTCGGTATGACGAATTTCTCCGATACTACACGATATTTGGAAATCTGAAAAATTGGAAGATAGAAGATCTTTTCCTATATATATGTTATATGTTGGCCGAATCCAATAAAGCACGTTATTCGATTGCCTTCTATGGTGATTGACGCCAATTGGAAATGCCAACTGATGCCAAGTCCTTCTCTAACTGGTATTTTTATCCTCTGCCACCACCAACGGCCGCAGCGCTTCTCATAGATTTACAAACATTTTTTTTTTGTTAATTTTTCATAAGAGTTGTTTTTAAATAAAAATTTGTGAAACCGCTCCTGAATTTTGAAAAGTAAAATTGTCATTCTGAGTACATTCTCTTATCGAATACTAGCAATATAGAAGTACTACATATATGCTGTAACCGAGTTTTTTTTAGAAATAGAAATATAATGTTTTTTTTTGTTTTTTTTTTTAACCAAATTTGTGTTGTTAAATGAAACAGTAATAACACGCTGTCGGATGCAGCCTTTAAACCTATTGGAGCTTCCTTAGGAAAGTATTAGCTACTGAATAAAAAAAAATCAGCTGCTCAAATCTCCCATTGAAATTTTAATATATTTTTTTAACATGCTTTTATTAGCTTCACCCGTATGTAAAAGTTTTGAGCTTTTTAATCAAGGCCTTGTTTTTAATTATGTAGATTTCACAGAAATATTCCGAGTATGCAGTTTTGTGGCAAAAACCAAAACATCAATTATTCTTGATAAACAAGTAATTTTTAAGCAAAAAACAAAATCGACTTCAATTCTCATATAAAATTTAAGCGGTTCGTTAATTTCTTCATAATCCAATTATTCCTACGAATTGATAACCTCCTCATTTTTTTGAAGTCGGTTAAAAATCATAAAATCCTCATACCAAATAAAATTAAAATCCATACATACATACATACATACATATGTATGTAAACATTTGCGGTTTCTTTGTTTTTAATGACTTCACTAATTCATAATTTCTAAATTTAGCGCTGGGAATTCAAACATCCTCAACCATTCCTGCGTACGCGCGAATTTCTCTGGCAAGAGGGTCACACAGCTTTCGCCACTAAAGCAGAAGCCGATCAAGAAGTCTTAGAAATTCTAGATCGTTATGCGCAAATCTACACAAACCTCCTTGCGATCCCTGTAGTCAAAGGTCGTAAAACTGAGAAGGAGAAGTTCGCCGGTGCAGACTATACCACGACTGTAGAGGCTTTTATTTCGGCATCAGGCCGTGCTATTCAAGGCGGTACCAGCCACCACTTGGGTCAGAATTTCTCGAAAATGTTCGAAATTGTGTATGAGGACCCGGAAACGCAGCAAAAGCAATTCGTATACCAAAACTCGTGGGGTATAACAACACGCACTATAGGCGTTATGATTATGGTACATGGAGACAATCAGGGATTGGTATTGCCGCCACGTGTTGCTTGCATTCAAGCCATTATTGTGCCTTGTGGTATAACGGTTAACACTAAGGAAGAAGAACGTGAACAACTGCTGCAAGCATGTAAAAAAATCGAAAACCAGTTGAACACAAAAGGCATCCGCTGTGAAGGAGACTATCGGGACAATTATTCCCCCGGGTGGAAGTTCAACCACTGGGAATTGAAGGGAGTACCACTGCGCATTGAACTTGGTCCGAAAGATATGAAAGCCAATCAGTTAGTGGCAGTACGTCGTGACACGGGTGAGAAACTGATTTTGGCTTTGGAAGATGTTGAGTCTAAGATCAGCCAACTGCTAGAAACAATTCACGATAGCATGCTGGCGAAAGCGAAAAAGGATATGGTTGATCATACGAAAATTACAAAGATTTGGATAGATTTCTGCAAATTTTTGGACGCTAAACACATTCTCCTTTCACCATTCTGTGGCGAAATCGGATGCGAAGAAAAAATCAAGGCTGATAGTGCAAGGTTAGTAAAAAAAAATTGTTTTGTCGCTCCTAGTTTCTCTACACCATAAAATACTTTGCAGAGACGAGGAGTCCGAGCCCGGAGCACCAGCTATGGGCGCTAAATCGCTCTGTATTCCTTTTGACCAACCAGCGACAATCACTCCGGCCGACAAGTGTATCCATCCAAGTTGCACTAACAAACCTAAGTTCTATACGCTATTTGGCCGCAGTTACTAAACACAAATTGAAATCTAGACAAACTTATAAGAAAACGCTCAATGAAAGAATTGAATAAATATTATTACGAATTGTTTACTTTACTTTATCTATAATACATATAATACACATGTGGTCCCTAAAGTGAATATACGTATATGAGACATTCTTTTTCATATCGGACACCAAATTTGGCTTCAAATTTTTTTATGGGCTCTATACATGAAATAAGCTAACACGAGTTCGAGGATTTTTTTTATTTCATAAAGAAAAATATTTTAAAAATAGTTCTTGAAAACCCCCAATTTTTTTAGCTGCGTTTTTTATAGAGAATTAAACAAGGATTACGATGGTATAATTTTAAATCCCTGATTCACTGGTCTTCACTATGCAAATCAATTTCAAAAAGTTCAACTGTTAATAGCTAAGTTAGATTTAGGACAATCTTGACCATCTTTTTTATTGAAATGTTAAGCCAGTTTCTTAGCTTTGAAATGACGTTAAGATGAAGTCTTTACGATCAGCAGAACCCGAGATATAACGATTTGAAGAAGTACATGATTAGTCAGAATCAGGAAAAAATGCAAACTTTGACAGATCATAGCTCCGAAGAAAAAAAACCAAAAAAATTCCTCGAACACGTGTTAGCTTATTTCATGTATAGAACCCACAAAAAATTTTAAGGGAATCGGAGACATGACATAATTTTTTTTACGAAATCCGTCCGACTTAAAAAAGAATGGCTCATATATATATAAACAAACTCTGATCGTTTAGAGTAGTTCTGGGCATTCTCTTGATGTTGTCGTGGGCCTGTCGGGTTGTCGTTCAATCGTTGTCGTCAAGCTTAACTAACGAAGACGGTTACTAGCTGAATGGGTTTAAGGGCCTGTTACTCAATGTCTGGTTAACGCTAATCTGCGGTTAAACATAGTTATCGTTAATCCGGATCAGCGCTTCCGTCTATTTAAGCTTTAAGATAGCCCTTGAAATTCTCAGGTTATTAGCCGTCGGTGTTGGTGCGGCGGTGAAGGTTCCCGCTCCTTAGGGCTATCTGAGAAACGAGGTAGAAAACTGCAATATGAGCAGTGGCGAATCGCTTAAGCTTCTTCATGGTGGTCATTTTCCTTGCAACCCTTCCCAAGAGGAAGTATACGTTGGGACAATGTATGTAGATTGCGCTTCCTCCCTCGACCTTCGGGATGATAGTAACCTTGCTTGGGCGGTAAACTCAAGTCCCCGGAACTCAATGGCGTCATACTTGCACGGCTCAAAAGACTTTGGAAGCATCGTGAATTACTTAAGGGCCATTAGGTACATCCCCAAGGCTTGGTGAAGAGTGAATTGGGGCACCTAGCACGTTCCCACGACAGTCAGGTCTACGTAACCCAGATTTATGTACTATATGTACCAGAAATGTGAAAAATTCATTAATTTTTTAATGCATAGCATTTTAATGTTAATGTAAAAAATTAATGCATTAATTTTTGAAATTTAATGTAAATGAAAATTTAAGTGCATTAATCGCGAAAAAATAAAGCAAATGAATTTTTTTTTTGCATTAACATTAAAATTAAAAAAAAATGGTATTGTAATTATTGATTGACATGCGGTGCCTCTTCCGAGACTTGAAGTATACTTGCAACCAATGCGGTGTAAGTATGTCCGGTGATTATGCATTTTAAATTAGTTTTTATTCTATAATCCTGAAAGATATTTTAATTCTCTATCTTTTCATGTCTCAACTATAGCAAAAAGTTGAGTAATAACGAAGATATTGGTCAAAATAAAAAGCTCACGCTCACGCTCGCATTGAACTGTATATCAGCCAGCAAGCATTTCAGTAAATGTTTTTAAAAATAACTTAAAGTAAGTTTGCTATAATAAGCGTTAAATAAGCATGTTTAATTAATTAAGCTTATTAAAAATTTTTTCAAATAAACCTTTAATAAGTTTTGAGATCGAATGTTTATAAATAACTTAAACTTATAAATGAAATGCAAATGCCAACGACATGAAGTAGTAAATATAACATTTTTTTTCAATCGTAAGTGACGTGTTTACGTTTTTTAAAATATATTATTTAAAGAAAAAATTAAATAAAACCGATGCGGTAAAAAAAAATCCAATCCAGGACCCGCAGCGCTAATCGGTGGAGCATTCGAGTCTTCAAATGATGAGTTCTCCTTATCCTTTCTTAGTTTAAAAATGTATTAAATTTTTTTCAGAAAAGTTCATCAATGAGAATGGCGGCGAGAAGCGGAATATATATGTAGCTGCATCGATGTCGTTTTCCCAATTTGCCAATAACCGCATGTAATTGAAAGCACGCAACAAGATGTAATAATTAACTTACTTTTCCTTAAATTTTGTGTGTTATCATGAATTTGTATGCTAAAATATCTATTCCCTATTTATATTTTCGAGACTGTAGATGAGTCCGCGAAAATGCGCATTTCTTTTAGTTTCTAGATGTTAAGCAATCTATGTATGAGTTTTTAATGAAATATCTTTAAATAAAGGGTTATAAAAATGTTTATAAAAAGCATTATTTTGAAAATTTTTAGTAAGTTTATATTCATACGCTTATAAACAACTTTTAATCTGTTCCAATAGCAGTCCGGTTTACAGGATTTAGTCAGGAAGTCGTTCCTATTGACATAAAACCTGTAGGTGGGAACACTTTTGAGAGAGTAACTGAGCAACTGTTCCTAGTCAGAAGTTGCAGGATTTAGTCCGGATTTTTTTTCCTGTTCATGAAAAGTGTCATGAAAAGTGTCAAACGATCAGCTGATTTACATGTGCAAACAAAAACAGAAAGCGGTGAAAGCAAAGAACCTTATATTTGTTAAAAAATGGAAGTAAACAACGAAATATTTGAATATTTATAGATATAGAAATATTTGAATATGTATAGATTTTTATAATTATTTAGTGATATTTCAGCCAAATCAGTGTTGTACCAATGACATGTAAACAAACGACTGACGTTTTTACAGGAAATAGTGCTTTTTGCGTTCCTATGCACTTATGCATCTGTTCTCCTTTTACTCTCACTTGAGAGAGTAAAATTGTAGTTTGACAGTTCCACAGGTTTTAGTCCGAAGTTCACAGATGCAGAAGTGCATAGGAACGCAAAAAGCACTATTTCCTGTAAAAACGTCAGTCGGTTTGTTTACATGTCATTTGTACAACACTGATTTAGCTGAAATATCACTAAATAATTATTAAAATCTATACATATTCAAACATTTCGTTGTTTAATTTCATTTTTTTACAAATATAAGGTACTTTGCTTTCACCGCTGTTAGTTTTTGCTTGCACATGCAAATCAGCTGATCGTTTGACACTTTTCATGAACTTACAGGAAAAGAAACTCCGGACTAAATCCTGTAACTTCTGACTAGGAACAGTTGCTCAGTTACTCTCTAAAATGTGTTCCCACTTACAGGTTTTATGTCAATAGGAACGACTTCCTGTAAGTTCTGACTAAATCCTGTAAACCGGACTGCTATTGGAACAGACTACTAATCTTCGCGGCTTGCGTTTTGGTACGCATGCCGTCGAATTTGATTTTTTGCGTCACCCGAAATTGACTTGCATGCGTTTGCATTTGATTTCATTGAGCGAAACGTCAAATCAAAATGTCACGCAGAACAAAAATTGGAAATTGAGTTAGCTTCATACGCACGCCGTTCAATTTCGGTTGATCTCATACAAGTTGCATGTGCATGAGAAATTTTTGACAATAAATTGGCGGCGTGCGTGAATATTAGGCACTCGGCACATTACGCGCCTAATCAAAGTAGAGTAATCGTTTCATCATACCGAAACGAATGCATGACGACTCGACTTCTGCACACTTGCACGCCCTGCATAAGTCACCAGCTAATAAACACTTAAACATAACAAAGTTTTTGGCCTTCTTTCGCAACACGCACTTCCGCAAATTATTCCGCTCCGAAATATTGCATAAACGCTTGTGGCTTAATGCCATTTGCACGAATTTTAGCACGAAATCGTTCATTTCCAATTATTTTCTATTGAATTGACAAATAAATTTTATTTCCAACACAAAAAAGTAAACAAATGACGATTTCAAAACTGCAAGCGCCTTACAATGTTGGGCGCTTCGATTCATGAAGCTTTAATGATTAGGCGCAAACATGATTTTGAATCGTAATCTACAGAGCTTCATTGAAATACATGGGTTCGGCATAAATGCTTTATACTTTAGTATGCCGAAACGATTACACTACTGTGATTAGGAGCTTAATGTGCGGACTGCCTTAGGTTAGCCTGTAAGTGGCATTTTTGGCGAAATGGCACTGTTGCGAACAAAGTTGTATGAACGATCTATCGCAACTCCGGATTGCACATGTAAATTTTTTCGAAAGAAAAAATTAAAAGTAAAATTTTTACAACTATACTTTGAAGCTGCCTTAACTGATATACTTTTTCTTGGAGTATTTTAAGACAATAAAACAACATGTGTTTCGCGGGTTTGACTTTGCAATGATTACCAGCTCAAATACTGTGGCAATGTCGCAATTTTGTCACAAGAAAGTTTGCATACAAAAGTAATCAGCTGTGTCGCAAGGTGGCAAATTTCGCGACAAATGCGACATTTGCAGCAACTTAGTGACGTTTCATTAATCCCACTACTGTTAAAAATTATTTCCCAACGTTTCGATGTTCGAAAAAAATATCATCGATACTTCGATATTTAAGCGATGAAAACATCAATAGTTGCGTTTATTTGGGTTATCCAGCTCAGTATCACGATCATTTCTCACGGAAACGGTCTGGATATTTTGTATATTACTAGCACGAGGAAGACGAAATTATAAAAATGAACTCTCTAAATGGGGAAAATTACATTTAAACTTAAACAAGTATTTAACATAAAGGAAATTTATTTGAAGCAGGTTATAAGAAGCAATGGCAGAGTATTCGTTTGAGTATACATTCATTTGTCAGTGCTACCAAACTGTACTGCCATATTATCAGTGACATAAACGAAAAAGAGCGGATCATAAAGTGAACCTGATCTCTATCAGGATCATATCATGGCTGTTGCATTTGTGTTCAAGTTTCTTATACGGATCCTGATCATTGTCCACGAAACACAGCAAATGTTTTCGATACATCGATGAATCATTAGAATCCTATTTACATGCCGATATCGAAAAGCTATCAATACTGTCGATAAACCAGGAAAGCAAAAATTCAATTAAAGGCAACTCTACTGAACAATAAATCGCCGCACAAAAACTAAAAAAGAAAATTGGCGGAAAGAGAAATCATACTAAACAAACGCGTGGAAGTGAATTTTATATATTTGATTCAGAAATTAAAAATTTACTCTACTAAAAAGCATAATGGGAAAGGAAAAGAAACAATTTAATATTGGCGACTTGGTATTCGCTAAGGTGAAGGGCTACCCAGCATGGCCAGCAAAGATTACTAAGTACAACAATAAAAAGTACAGCGTGTACTTTTACGGAACGGGAGAGACTGCAAACATCAAAGTGGAGGATCTTTTCCTATATGCGGGAAGTAAAGAAAAGTTTGCTACCGACAAAAATCTTAAGCGTTCAAACTTTCGTGAGGCTATTGAGCAGATAGAGGCGGCATTAAACGGAGAAGATTCGGCTCCTATCGATTTACCGGGTGCTGCAGCGTTGGGAGACGAAACCTTAGATGATGGCACTGAGGCATTCGCGGATATCACGGCTGAAGATTGCCAAATGGATGAAAGTGCCATAGTTGTCGGAATAGAAGAAGGGAAAGATGTAGCAAATCAAATTGATGAACAATTGAGGGCACATAAAATAAAAGAAGATAAACAAGTGCCACTAGTAACGTCTACGACGGATAACCCGGAATTAGTCAGCCGCAGTGGTCGCAAAATTAAAACAAAGCGATACATTGATGAAGTACAGGATGGACCCTCTTTATCTCATTCACCACCTTCGAAGAAAAAAGTACCAGCAGAAGGTAAGTGCGTGTATATCATGGAATTTAACGTGCGCGTTCGTTGGTGTGGCATGAAGGAACACAATGGAAATAGAACAACGTAGTTTTCTTAACACTTACACTGGCGATTAAAAGTGAGTGCATTGTGTTTCTTCTCAAAAATTTTAAGTACGCGGATAGATCGTGTTGAATGATCTCTTTATTGCGTATGGCTTCTGGCACTATTTAGGGATGGGCTTTAGTAGTCAGCCGCACCTTGTGTTTTAAGAAAACCAGGTGGAATTAACAAATGAAACTTGGTCAGGATGTTAAGGGAGGTATGCTCTAAACCGTGTATAACTAAAAAATATAAATTATATGTTTTATTGTCCGATCAGTTCGTAATTTATTAAATATTATGTTACCAGGCTAGTCTGATCTATGTTTTTAGTGACAATAAAACTACATTATTCCACTTTCTGGCCCAACGTTTCGTTAAAACATTTTTAGCATCTTCAGGGGCAATCCAGCTTTATTAAATCTGCCACAAACCAAAAATACAAAGGCACATTGTAATTAAAAATTAATGAATATAGCATACAAACATACATATACATATATGGAATTAAAAATTATAAACAACAATTTGAGGACAAAAAACTCACAATGTTTAAGAACTTTGATTAACACCTAAATACAGCGCATCTGTACCATCTTTTGTGGTAGCTTTGTCAATACTAAAATAATAAACATTTTTATTTGTAATCATAAACAAGAAATGTAAGCGGCCGCAATGTTGTCCGTATCTTCTTTTCTGATCATTGTCTTTTTCCTTCTTTGCATTATCCTAAGGCTTTCTAGTGTATATCGGGTTGACTCCCTTCTCTTCCACTTGATTTCCTTATCAAAGAGTGCATTTGTCACATACTTTCATGTATATAAATGCACATAACACTACCTAATAGGTTACACACTTTTATCTTATTTTATCTTGTATATAATTCACTTTAATCCAACTTGTATTAACTTGTAATTACATTACATTGCACCCATATTTACAATCATAGTTGCGATCCCGTACGAGTCCGGATTAGTCAGAATCAGTCAGATTTTACTGGAAATCGATCCCGTACTCGGTTCTCTGACTACTGAGAGGACAAAACAGAGAGTAAATACGGTTCTCTCTCTGTCAGAAGGTACCAGTTTTAGTCCGAGAATTTTTTGCTGGTAAATTCTGGTAAATATGTCAAACGATCAGCTGTAGTGTGTTTGGCAACCAAATTGTAAACAAAAGAAAAGTGCACTCTGCTAATTCATGTTGAAAAGAATTTAATTACTTGTTTAAGTGGATTCTAATGAATTTGAAAGTATTTTTGGTTATTTACATGTGTGAGCTGAGTGTGTTTACATACAAAATAAGCAAAAATTTACAACCAAAATTTGGAGGTTATGTTGAAGTTGTCAGAAGTTACCATTTTTTACTAGAAAGCGATCCCGTACTTTTCAATGTTACTCTCTCGCTCTGAGCGAATTTTTATTTTTTGACAGTTTTCTAGTCCGAGTCCGAGGAAAACGGGATTGTACCTCATGATACAATAAGTCCCCTTTCAGACACGTCAAGTCTTGAAAGCAATTTTTTCGCATTCTCTTTTGTGTTTTCTATTTGCTTCCACACGCGTCAACTTTAATTGAATTCAAGTCCTTGGTTCTTTAAATGGGAAGCAACGAAAAGAACAAAAGAGACAAGAAAACTTGAAACGAATTGACGGTACGGAGGTATCTGTACTCTTCCCCTCTCTTCTCACCTCCTTCGCCTACGAACGAGCAGACTTGAAAGCAAGACTTTACGTGTCTGAAAGGGGACTAACACACAGTATACAGTAAACCAGCCATTGACAATATACTTATTTGAAAATTAATACATGAAATATTGGGCATGTATAGGATTCTTTTGTCATTAACCCATAGGCAATGACTGGTGCAAAAGTACCCAGAAAAGTTTGTTGATATATTTGAAATGTAAATTTTGACAGCGAAACTCGTAAAAAAAAAATAATAAAACAAAAATATTGTTGATTACTACATGGGAGGTGGTGGTGGTGGTTATTGACAGGTTTCGCAAAAATTTAATACTAACCTAAATTATACCAAAGGCAACTTTGGCACCGACTTTCGTTAAAATATCTACATAAATTTTGTTCGAGTTAGCGTGTTTACAAACAGACACGACTGAACCAATTCATTTCGTCATTCTGAATATTTTGATAAATATGTATGTAAGAATACATATGTGTATATACATTTTATACGGTTGAAAAACGGCCTCGCTAATCTGACTAAACCTTTTTTATTTGCATTAACTCATGCGTTATCCTTTTCAAATGAGAATAAGCGGCAGAACAAGTGCATACAAATTTGTTCGAACGTCGATATATAACTTTGTGTACATATTTCATTACCTTTAAGTTAAGTAATACTTGTTTTACCCCCTAATTTATGGGACCATTTTCCAAAGTCAGCCCACCGTTATTCACTCAAAGTTGTATTCGGAACACGATATGACTTATGTAGGAACGGCAACCGGTTATAATCGCTTACGCTGCAAGCCTGATTTGCTTTGAATTTTGTTTTTCTCGTTGTTTTATTTTATGTGACTTGAAAATAATTTTCACTATAAGAAAATATTGAAATTCATTTCATTTGGGTTAAAGAAAACGACAACTGTGAAAAAATATCAACCAATACATTCAAATAAATTGTCAAATAAGGATACCCACCATGCAAAACACGAGAAATAGGCAACAATCGTCAATGGCAACAAATTGGCGACTCACCGATTTATTGCTGTGGTGACAAATCGGCAACATCACTTCGTTCATGACAATTTTGAATAAAAAAGTTCTCAAAAATTCCGAAACTTATGAATATGGCGTCAATATTATTGGCCAAAAGCATCTAAATTATGCCCAAGAACAAGATTGAAGAAATAGGAAGCCTCACAGCGAGAAAATGAATTAATTCCGATTGTAAGTTGCGATTTGGTATACAAAAAAAATAAATGAAGCCTTAAAAAGAATAAAATTATTCCAAATATCGCCTGAAGCGATAAGAAAAGGACTCATTCAGGTAATAAGAAAACGACTCGCCCATGCGAGTTGCCTTCGGCGGACTTCGGGCTTCGATTCGATGGCAATATTACCGGCAATAAATTTGTTTCCGAGGGCGCCACGTTTTCTTATTGCCGGCAACAGAAATTGTTTGGTGGGTATTTACATTTTTTGTTTTGCCTATTTGGATTACTGTATACTGTGCAATAACACATTGTTGCGAACTGACACATAAGATGTGTTGCCATACCGTACAAAACAATACAATAGAAAGAATTCTACGTAGTGAGGGTTATAATCCCTAAGTGCGGCCGCAGGCCGCCTACGCAGAAAAGTGTTCTCTGAAAAAGTTGTTCGGCCCCCTTTTTTCGGCAACACAGAAAATTCAAAAAATTTAAAAAATGGTAGAAGTGATAGCTATTACTAGCACTTAATACGGCCTCGAGCTCATAAAAATTGTTGAATATAATTGTTATAAAGCCATAAAAATAACAAAAACAAATAACTTAAGGACGAGCACACCTAAAAGTTAAACATTCTAATAATAGAAATATTAACAAAAACCAACAACCACATGATCAAGTGAATTGCGCTTGATTGTAGTTGGCTTAGCAAAGTGAAATAGTGGAAAATAAGGAACAAGAATTAACAAGACAAACTTAGCACAGTGCGTAGGCAACTGGCTGGGTCAGTGGTGATCGTCGGTTCGAATCCTACTGAAAGAAGTCTGATGAGGAAATGTGGTGATTTCAGAAATAGCTACCACTTCTACCATTTTTTCAAATTATTGTTGCTTTTCCACAATAAATTTGCACTTAATACGGCCTCGAGCTCATAAAAATTGTTGAATATAATTGTTATAAGGCCATAAAAATAACAAAAACAAATAACTTAAGGTCGTGCTAGTAGTATAAAGTTAGTGATACTGAGGTCTATAACCAAAGAAAACACGACTATTGTCGCATGTGTAAACGGAAAGATAGTGTGGGTCGTTCATGTAACAGAGTGCGTAAACGTATAAGATTATCTGCTTGAAATAGTTATCGGTTTGGATGAATACCACTAATAAAATGTGAATAAAAAGAATGAATTGCATCCACTAACTTTACAAATATGGGTTTTCTGCTAATTTTTGGCATTTTCAATTTTATTTTAGCCAATGGAGACAAGAAGGCGGGTTGTTAGGGAAAATACTACGAAACAAAAACTATTTCACAAAATCTTGGTTGATCTGTCAAACAGTCACTTTACGCACCTGTTTACACATTTTGCTATAAAAGCCTCGTAAACTTACCGAGTTTTACACAGTTTACGACTTCACGAGTTTAAGGAATCCTATAATTTTGTTGTATTGTGTTGTGATGTGTTGTTTCATGTTGTGTTGTATCGTATTGATTTGTGTGTTGTTGTTGTTGTAGCGGCTACAACAACCCCGCCCAGATCGGTTGATATCTCAGTCGATGTCGTCAAGTTTCACTAACGGCAGACCTAGGAAGCGTGCAGCCTCTATCGGGTCGGTCCACAGGGACAAAGCCGTTAGGGTTGTCGGGTTTCCCGGACATGCAAAGAGATGTTTCGAGTCATTGAATCTACTCAGGTATGAGTTTAACCTGCTGCAGTAGCCAGAGCGATGTTGGGCTATTGTTGATCGTGTCTAGAGTCTACATAACTCCAGACTGACTCCCTGTGAATGCCGTTCAGGGCCAGTCGGTAAGCTGACGGGTCCAGACGAACCTCTGGACTTCGTCCGTCAGTTCATATAGATGCCTCTTGACGTGCCTAAGCGAGGGGGTCCTCTGCAAGCAGCTGTCTGTTCGGGTGGCTCCCGATCAGAAACTGCTTGTGTGGTGTTGTGTTATGTTATTTTATGTTATGTTATGTTGTTATGTTCTTTTATTTTATGTTATGTTATGTTCTGTTATAACATGTTGTTCAACGCATTTCACCTCAATTCACTTCACCTCCACTCAACTAAACTCTACTCGGCTCAGGCCAGCCCCCCTCAACTCCCCTTAATTTAAAAGCTTGAATTACAAACGCTAGGCGAACACTAGTATGCTAAATAGGGGAAAATTTTAGTAGACGGACGGCAAATTCTAGAAAAAGGGGGGAAGAGGGGGATAGAATAGGACCCCCCGATTTCAAAAATACCCCCCTTTTTTCTAGCAACCCTATAGTTCTTATATAATTTATTGTTAAAGCTTTCATATAAACGATGAATAAGATAGTAAAATAACATAAAACTTGGTGCTGCCAGACTGAAATTCTGAATAATAAAAGCGGATTTTTAATTCGAAATTTTCCTTTAGTAGAATTACTCCTTTATTGCTCGTTCGGGAGGAATATGGGATGTTTTCTATGTGCACTCCCTTGTTGTCTTTTCTGGGAGGTAACTATGGGAGTACTCCCGATTGCTCGTTTAGGAGGTAAAAGGGATTACTCCCCCTCCTACGACATCCAATGTTAAAGGAAGTATACAAAATTACATGCTTATAAACAGAAGCATAGGGAGCAATGGGGAGCATTCGTATACTCCCAAAGGAGTACTCACCGAGCAATCGTACGATGCTCCCAAGTTCTACTGGCAATGTATCGTCACACACACAATGGAAACTAAATTAAAGTTAAGTCTTAGTCTGTAAGAATATATACTCTGTAGACGAACTGAATTGAAATAAATAAATAAATAAATATTATACTTAACCTACATTTTGTTCATAAATAACACATAATTATGTATATTTTATCCTCGGAATGAACTTTTTCTAATCATGAGGCGAAATTCCCCACAGTAAGTGTTGCCGTGCGCGCAAAACGAAAGCGCTGCACACATCCCAAAAGTACTCCTCGGGGACCAAATGGTGAAAAACTGCGAAAAGGTTTATTACTGTATATACTGTGATTGCGCCGTCCTGGTCGGTGACATTTGTGTACCACAAGTAAACAAAGAATAGAGAGAAAAGAAGAACGAATTGAAACTGCCAAAACAGTTCACTTTACAGCGAAGAACGTGGTTTAATTTTGCTAAAGCGAAAATATTGCATTTTCACATAATAGGTGCGTTCGACAAGTCAAAAATTTGTAATAGTTTTCCAAATTTTTATTGGATGGCGTTCGATCCAACACACAAAAATTTTGATGCAAGAGAAGCGTTCATTTGTACTGGCAAAATTTTAGTCAGCAAAAATTATCCAACACGAAAACATATGATCACAAAACATATGGTTGCAATTTTTGTAAACAAACGAAATTGCATTTTTCGAGTTTTGGTATTTATATGCTTTCTGGCTGCCTGCTATGTGATTTTATGATAGCGCCAACTAGATTTTACTTCTAGAAATGTTCCTGGCGAACATTGAACGTTCACTTTCCTTTTTCTTCTATGGAGGCAAGATGAATTTCAGTTTGTTTACAAATAAAACATAAACAAAGTCAGCTGGTGTGTCTCTTCTTCCGGTTTTTGCAAGTAATGGCTAATTTCCTGTTCGTTCGTTCGTTTTTTGCTTTTTCATCTCTTTGGGAGAGAATTTTCGCTTACTCTCTTGATTTTGATTGTTGGCTGGTGTTGGCTAATTTTGTTATCGAACGCAACTAATCTCGTAGAGAATAGTGAACGTTAGTGCACTCGATTGCTTTGCAATCGAAGCTGCTCCAGCAAACGCTTTAGTGCACTCCATTGCTTTAGCCATTCAATTTTTTTTTCGAGCAAACCTACGTGAATTGAACCCAAAAGTTGAACGCAAAATCGCCTGGTGCGAACGGCCTTTTAGGGAACGCAACTATTATTTTGCAAATTTGGATTCATTAAGTACTAACTACATATTCTATATTAAGAACTTATTTAAAAAAGGAAATATGAAAATAATTTAATAATTAATATTTCCAGGTGTATCTTCTGATGCGAAAAAATCTGCCAAGAAATCGGGCAGCTCCTCTAAGCCAACAGCTACCATTACGCCCACCGTTAAGCCCTCTGGCGGCAATAAGAGTGAATTATTTAACAATTTATTACTAGCTTTTGTGCCGCCAGCCAAATGTGTTGGAATCAAGTTGGACTTCGGGAAACCGGAGTCATTTCCAAGTACGGCTGAGCGAACTAAATGGGAAGAGAAAGCTCGAAAAGATGCTGAAGAATTAAAGGAGAAGCTAGAGATTGGCCAAATTAAACTAGAAGCTGTAAAGGATCGTGTGATCATAAATCCTCCTCGAGCAAAGATTCATCAAGATGCTGCAAATAGATTCACCAATCAGATGATAGAGCAGGAGGATGCGCTTTTCGTTGAGCGCGACTTTATACAAATATCACAGCAATTGCGTGAAAGCTTGGGATTGAAAAGTGCTGACGTAAATCGTTGTGTGGACCTACTCAAGCAATATAAAGATTTCGAATTAACACAGTTAATGTTGTTACGTAATCCAGATTGTGTGGACATCATAAGGCGCTTACGCCGCTATGTTGGAAATTTGAAAGAATGGTCACTGAGCGCCGACGAAGAAATTGAATTCAAAGCCAAGGCGGAAACCATACGCAACGAAGCAGTTATTATATACAACTACTTTAAAAAACTGTTTAAAATTTCAGGCGATCAGCAGTTTTGGGAACCTTTCTGTGATCAAGTAAAAACGTACAAAGAATGCACGAAACATATTAGTGAGCAAAATCGCATCACAATGAGTGAGAAAGCGTATATGAATATTTGTGCTAATCGCAATAGAGATGAGAAAAACTCAGAAAATAAAGAAATAGGGTCAAAAAGTACTGTTGAGAAGGAACACTTGAACGAAGAATCGGGCATAACGATGGAAAGTCAGAAACAAGGGTCAGGAATGATGGAAGGCAATGCTGAATTGGGTACGGAAGATTCCCTCGTCATCGCTGAAAGCAACGTACTTGAAACGCGCGTGGAATCCTAAATCTCTCCTTAAAAAAGTCAAATATTCAAAGAAATTACACGATTTATTGGCTTCAATTTTCAAACTTTGCGTTACTAATTCCATGGTGGCACAGAATATGTAAAAAACAAATACCAAAACACGAGTTTATATACATATATATGTTTAATGTATGTATGTATGCTTAGGTACTGATTAACTAAACAGAAAACATGCTACTGGTATAATTGATATACATACATATGTATGTATATACATATTTGTATATTGTTTTTTTTTTTTATATTGTGTTTATGCCAAAACCATTACGAGGTGTGTACAATAAATATAAAGTATTTTTCGTTTAAATTCGCACTTGTTTTTGGAAAGTGTTTTAACCCAAAATTTACCATTTGTCAGGAAGCACAAAGCCTACTTTTTGCAAAAATTACAAAAAAAATAAAATATTGCCTTAGCTTTTGTTTACAGGTAAATGTCTGGACCCTTCTAAATAAAAAATTTTTTGTAATGTTTACAGTTTGTACATTTACTTCTAACAAAAGCAATAAATATATCGGCCCTATCGCGAATTTCACATATTCCCAAAAATTATAAGCAAAACAAAAACAAAAAATTGGCGATAGGGCTGATATAAAAAAAAAAAATTAGTGTGCTACAAAAAACCAACATCAGGCGGTTGCAGCGACCTAGAATAGGTCAATTCTTCAATCGACGTCAATCTAAACTAACGGTATGCCTAGGAATGTACTGTATCACAAGGTCCGACCTTTTCAATTGACCCCTTGATGGGGTTTGTTTTTTAGTGTTTTCTGATAACTAGAAAATTTTGTTAATACAATTTCGAATAACGAGTACGATATACACGTGTATAGGTTATTTTTCCTACTAAAATTGCATCACTTAACACGATTCAGTTTGAATTTTGTTTACTGGTTAACTGCATTTGTGAAACAAGAACACCAACCAAACTATCTATGTCCCATATGTACATACATGGCTCATGAACACTTATAAGCGATCGAATTAGTTTGTATAAATTTAAACGCTGCGAATGCACATACATTTCTAGTTGGTCATTTTCAGCAGTACATACATACAATAAATCTATTCATATCCGTAAAATTCCACGTATACGTAGAATGCAAAAATTCAAACGCCAATGCTTTTAATTTGTGCATATCATCGTGTCCTTGTTTTTATTACTAATAGGTAAACATAATATCTATATATACTATCTTAAATTGATCAACTTAGCCTATTCAAGAACGCATTCATTTGCTCTATTCTTTTGCATCGCCGATTCCATCGGGCAATATTGCAAATGTAGCTTCACTCTCGGGTAGGCATGGTGAATCATATATTTTGCAAATCCGCGTTTCCCCGCGTCCTTTTCGGAAATAAAGTCTCGTCGTGGAGGCATGCGCGATAATGTTGCCGCCAATGGGTTTCTTGGTATCTGCTGCGAACATGGCAGGTCCAGTATCTACATTGGCGACCACCTGATTCGTTATGATTACAGCGACACCAAACTAAAAATTAATATATATACTAAAATATGAACACATGAATTTACTAATGTTGAATACCTCATCTGCTAATCGCAACAAAAGGCGCAGAAATCGTGCAAGGTGCATCTGGCGTGCTGACAACTCACCACGACCTGTATAATCTGTCCGGTAAAGTGCTGTTGCACTATCAACTACTAAAAGTGCATACCTAATAAAATAAATTTAGATTTTTTCATTTAAGCATCCAAATGTATTTTAAACTCACCGTGATTCCACCATCATAGCTGCAGCCTGCGTCAGTAATTGCGTTTGATGATCTGTGTTATAGGCGCGAGCGCAGGCCACGTTGTCCAAAACCTTGAATATACATAATATTACCAATTGTAAAAGCACTATTACATTAATATTTCTTCAAAACTGCACCTCTTCTTTTACAAGTTTGAAGCGTTCGGCAATTGCGGTCAAACGTTCCGGCCGAAATGTTCCTTCTGTATCAATATAGAGGCATTTACCCTCGCCACCATTCTGACTTATTGGCAATTGACAAGTCACAGCTAATGTATGACACAACTGCGTCTTACCACTACGGAATTCTCCAAACATTTCGGTTATTGAACCCGTTTCGATGCCACCGCCCAGTAACTTATCAAGCTCTTTTGAGCCAGTCGTCAACATGACTATCTCTGAACGCTTTTGATAAATAGAAGTGGCAGTTGTGAAACCCATTGGGACAAGTTTAATAGCTTCAGTTAGAATTTTATCCGCTTTTGCATCGGAAAATCCTCGAATTTGCAACAAAAGTTTCTTTGGTGAAAATGCTATAGATTCTACTGTATGAAATCCAGCTTCCTGCAATCGTTTAATATCATTACTTGATATCCCATTGACCTACATAAATATGAATACAATGAAATAACAAAAGGCGCATATTTTTCTTTACAAACCTCAAGCTTCGTAATGGATACCGGTCCAAACTCGTCTGCCAACTCCACTGAACAGTCAGCTATGGTAGCTGATGCCAAGGTATGTTGTCTTCCCACATAAGACATAATAATTGTAATAACAAAATTGGTCCTTCACGTAAAACGAAGTCGACTAAAATTTTTAAACTTGCGTAGATAAATATATGTGTACAAATTTAAAACCGCGCTCTTTCCTCAGAAATATGTATGTACGATTCAAGTAAAAACGAGTATATACTCGATACTTTTGCTTCGATACCAACTAGTTTTTGTAACCCAATCGTTGTTCACCTACTTGGTATCGAAAAACAAGTACTTGTATGGGCCCTGTCACACGGTCAGTAGTTATTGACGTGATCCAAGTATCGCGATATTTATTGACGGTGTAGCATACAGTAATGATGGATCGCAATCCATATCGCAAAATTTCTAAAAAATTTGAAATCTGGATCTTGGATCCCAATACCGTCATTAAATATTGAACGTGTAGCACTTTCAAAACGCGATCCATACATTTCGTCAGTACATCTTTTACTCTCATAATGCGAACATCGGCTCTGCCTTCGCTCTTGAGGCTTAAAATCTTTCAACAGTGGAAGTTTTAAAATAATTGTGGAATGCATTATCTGTAAACTATACGTACAAAATAAAAATACTTTCTTGCATCATAATAAGCTTTCAGCACAAAAATTAAGCAAATACTGAGGCGATAAATATTGAACATGTAGCATTCGTGCGCGATCCATCAATCCATCAATATGGATAGCGATCCAAATATCGTGATAATTCATGAACCAATTAGAACAGATCTAATCGGTTGAGAAGCAGCCATTTGTAATAGCAATTGAGAAAAAAGTGTGTGACCTTCGTAATTTTGAAGCTTGCTATTTCTTTTTAGCTTCTTTCTTTATGTGTAATTTGTCTGTGGTTTATTTCAGTGATTTTTAAACGATTTTCAATAAATTTTTGGTGCAAATGTATTTAAAATGAAGTGGGCGGTGATTGGTGGTAAAAACACGTACAAAATAATAATTTGGTGAGCACAAACATGTGCTGCAAAATTGATTGCATTTTTTTCTTTATGCTTCGTCTTCATATTCTTTGTTTACTTTACAAAGAAAATAACATGGCGCCGAAATTACAAACGTCAGCCAGAAAATTACTTTTTTCTTTTGCTTCATCTTGTCAGATCTTGTGTAGCTGGATCATGGTGATAATTACTGACCGTGTCACAGAGCCCTTTTGACAGTTTGACAGGTTTTATTCAGAAAAGTTGGGGAACGCAACTAATTTCACAATTAATCACGTAATAATCGCTTAGACAACCACAAAAATAATCGATTAATTGAACGAAATGATTAATCGCTGTCATTCCTACATATGACTTAAAAAATTACATAAAAACAAATTGGTTGGTTCTTTATCTTCCTGGCCCTTTTAATGAATTATTAATGCAAAGCAAATTAGGTTCTTGCTACAAACTAAAAAGGCTATGACAGGCTATTGCTATTTGGACGTAGAATTGTGAGTGCAGCACTATCAATTTAATTGGGAAATACATTTACTTGACGGTTTTTTTGTACGTTTTTCGGCATCCTGCAATAATAGGAAATTACGCGACGAAGAAAAAGCAGTAGTGACGCCTGCTTACTTTCTAGGGAGCATAGAAGATTCATTACAGAGTTTATTCGGCGAAATTGGTGGGCAAACTGATTTGGAGCTGGTAAAGTTCGACAACACACAAAAACGTGCAATTCTCAGAGTTCAGAAAGAATTCCTTCCCCGCACGCGTGCAGCCATTACGCTTATTGGGCATTTTCAAGACATTCCTTGTCATTTCATGTTGAGAAACATATCTGAGAAAAACTAAAATTTTAAGTCTCTTACACACATGCACTTTAGTCAAGATGTCGTACTGTAAGTCATTTGGCAAAGACAAAGTTTGTTTCGTTACAAAAGAAGATCATGCAATACCAAGCACTGTTGAATTGCCGCCACCAGAGCCTGCACAGGGTCTTATAACAAGTGATGGTGAAATAAATTGGAGTTGCCCATGCTTGGGTGGTATGGCAACTGGTCCATGTGGTGTGGAATTTCGGGATGCGTTCTCATGCTTCCACTATAGCAAAGCAGATCCGAAAGGCTCTGATTGCTTTGAAGCTTTTCGAGCAATGCAGGATTGTTTTGTTCAATATCCTACAGTATACAACAAATCAGCCGGAAATGATGATGAAGATGAACCTGGGTTGAACATCGCCAACTTGGAAGATGCTGCTCCGCAGGAAACATCGAGCGCTTCTCCCACTGCCGTAGGAGTTGAAGTACACCAAACCTTAGCAAAAAAAGAAGATTGAAGAATATTAAAAAGAAAATGTCGATAAAAAAGTGGTAAAAACAGATTTTCGTATTTAAAAAATAAAAATTAATATTTAAGCGTTCAAACAATGCATCATAGTTTCTCTTTTATCTTGTCTTTCTGTTTAGAGAGTCGAATAATAAAAACTTCAGGAAAACAATATCATACACCGTGCAGATTCTCAGTTAACCATGAAAATGCAACATTGAGGGCCGGTTACTCAATGTCTGGTTAACACTAATGTCCGGTTAAACATTGTTATCGACGTATTCGACTCCATTCATATATAGTCTGTTCCTTTGAACTTCGGACTAAAACCTGTGGAACTGTCAACTACAATTTTACGCTCTCAAATGAGAGTAAAAGGAGAACAGATGCAGAAGTGCATAGGAAACCAAAAAGCCATGATTCAATAATAACGGTTAATAATAATAATAACGGAGAAAGGGGAAGAATGAAATCTCTTGGTGCGAAAATGGTAGTAGAAAAGTACGCAACGTAGGCAATTAGCAATGAAATTCCTTTTGTAAATTCTAATGTATTTGCAGGAAATCTGGCATTTTAAACGAAATGTTGAACGTGATATTGATATATCTACGTGAATTACGTAATTTTTGTGCTCTTTAGCTGTATAAAAACTGCAAAATGACTCAAAATTAAAATAAGACTACTAAGAGATTGATGTAAACATCCAATTTAAAAGCAGTTTATGTTTTCATCAGTTAAATATGCTTCATGTGCATATACAAATAAACATATTGCACAAAAGCTTATACTTTTATTTCACACCAAAGCTGCACTGTTTCCATGTGAATTTGCAAAGAAGCAACACGGTGCCACTGCTAAGGGAGCGGTGCGAGAGAGACAACTCTCAGTTTATCGAACCTTGTATTATTGAATCATGGCAAAAAGCACTATTTCCTGTAAAAACGTCAGCCGGTTTGTTTACATGTCATTGGTACAATACTGATTTGGCTGAAATATCACTAAATAATTATTAAAATGTATACATATTCAAACATTTCTTTGTTTCCTTCCATTTTTTTACAAATATAAGTTTCTTTGCTTTCACCGCTTTCTGTTTTTGTTTGCTTATGTAAATCAGCTGATCGTTTGACAGTTTTCATGAACTTACAGGAAAAAAACTCGGGACTAAATCCTGTAACTTCTGACTAGGAACAGTTGCTCAGTTACTCTCTCAAAAGTGTTCCCACTTACAGGTTTTATGTCAATAGGAACGACTTCCTGTAAGTTCTGACTAAATCCTGTAAACCGGACTGCTATTGGAACAGACTAATAACAGGGAGTTGGTAACGTCGATAAAGATGTTTAACCAGAGATTAGTGTTAACCAGAAGCTGTTTTTCATGGTAGAAATACACTCGGAGGCCTAAGGGCCGGTTGTTCAATGTCTGATTTGCAGAAATCGGAGGTAGAAGCTCCGGTTAAATACAACGACTGCTTTATCGATCACATGTTATAAGCATGGTGACGAAAACGTCAATAATGATGTTTAACCGGCAAGTAGTGATAACCAGACATTGAACAACCGGCCCTAAGAACCGGTTACATAGACGAGACGGAGCTTCATCTGCCTCGGGAGACTCGCACAACACTTGCACAACTTCGCTCCGGCTACTGCAGCAGGTGGAACTCCTACCTGAGTAGGTTGAATGAGGATGTGCCGAATGAGTGTCCGGCATGTGGAGAGACCCCACATGACTCGAAACATCTCTTCGCATGCCCGGAAAACCCAACAACCCTAACGGCCCTGTCCCTGTGGACAAACCCCACAGAAGCTGCACGCTTCCTAGGGTTGCCGTTAGTGGAACTTGACGACAACGACTGAGATACCAACCGTCCTGGGCGGGGTTGTTGTAGCCGCTACAACAACAACAACCGGTTACTCAATGTCTGGTTAACCCTAATCTGCGGTTAAACATCGTTATCGACGTCCTCGACTCCTTGCATACAACAGGGAGTCGGTAACGTCGATAACGATGTTTAACCGCAGATTAGTGTTAACCAGACATTGAGTAACCGGCCCTAAGTATTTGAAATTTATCAGAAGCTTATAATTCATGTTAACCATCGATAAAATTTCATTACATTCTTTAATAATATTTCGATGCAACCCTGAAATCATCTTTCGTTGATTATCCATCGTCGTCGCTGATTCGGTCAATTACCAATAGAGATGCAAATTTTGGAGGGTAACATCGATACATCGATGTTTCGATGCATCGGAAAATGAACATCGATGCTAAAATACATTGCCAGAAATACATGGATATATCGAGGGTTTCCGATGTTTCACAATTTGTTAGGTTGTAGTCACATTAAAAGGAAAATTTAAAACCCTTCAATTCCAACTCTCTGTAATTCAATTAGAAAAATACTTACATTTGGATGTATTTCCCTTTATTTATTTTAGGAGCATATTGGGTAAGTTGAATTCAAGTCTGAAGCTGAAATTAGTCAAGAACGTAAATCTACCGGTACGTAAACCCGGGTAAGCTGACACCGATCTGTCTTACCAAAGCGCCATCTAAATGAAAACTCAACAACACAGACTTTTTCTGTAGTTGTAGCCCGTAGCGCAGAAATCTGCGGAATTTGGATTTTTCCGTGTCAGCTGATTTCTTCCTTCTTTGGATGGTTGCCGCTTCGTCAGTTTTGCAGATGGTAAAAAAGTTATAAGTTCCTATTCAAAATATGTTTAAAATATTTGAAATTTACTATTGAATAAGGTTTTTTGTTGAAAACAAAGTTTTTATATTTAATCTGTTAAAGCTCGATAAATTGTAGTTGCATTGTAGTAAGCAACACTGAGGGCTCCAGTAATAGATAAAATTCTTCGTATACAGACTGCGTTTAAGTATACGTTCTGCGTTATTGACGAATTTCAGCTTGAGTCACACTGAAGTCGGTGTTTAACCATCGTTGAAACTGGCATCGATGTATCGTCAATTTAGTGATTTTGGGCAACTGTAAACATCGATGGCAAATATCGAATTTTGAACCGATATTATCGATGTTTAAAAATTATCGATATAACGTTTGTATTCCTAATTATCAATGTCGAACATTTTAATTATTTTTTGGTACCATGTTCGCCATTAAATCGAAAATAATGATATGAAAATTATTTGTGTTATTATAAATGTCATTTAAAATGTTTGTAAACTGCGTTAAGTGTAATCTGCAGAAGAGAAAGGATTTAAAAAGTGTTTTGGTGCATAAACTCAAAGTGCAATATTGCTATAGGTAGAGCAAGACAGCAGCAGTGGAAAATTTCTAATTTGTAAAGTGGGTAATAAATAAAAAAAAACATACATACGATAATATTTACAGCAGTCTTGGGCATCCGTGACAAAATTCCACATTCATTTCATCCTTTTGGTACTGGAGAGTGCGTGGCAATTAAATCTAGAGCAATAGTGCGAAGGAAAAAGAGAAAGAAATAAAAGTAAAGTTAATTTCCAACAGCCACCAGCGTTGTGAGTGTGGAATATCTTTCTTCTCTTGGTTAAAGTTTGCTCCAGAACTGAGGACAGTGCTCCAAATAAGCTAAAAATCGATCACCGATCTTAATCATATGGGAGGGTAAAACCGACTTATTGCTTGTAAACAAATAAAATGTTATTGACTTTCTACAAAGAAAATCGACTGTAATCTTAAAGGGTCAATGTTGAATTTTTTTTT